GGAGCCGGAGTACATCCCCTCAGCCGAGAATGTACTGCCGGACCGGCTTTCCCATATACACACCTCGGAGGACTACCGCCTGCATCTGCGCATATTCCGGGAGGTCGCCCGCAGCTTCGGGGCCTGTTCTGTGGACCGATTCACGTCCGCCCGGAATGCCCTCTGCGCCCAGTTCAACAGTCAGTACTGGGACGTGGGTACGGCAGGAGTGGATGCTTTCCAGTAGGACTGGAGCGGCACCAAGTTCTGGTGCAATCCCCCGTGGAGCCTCCTCGCGAGGCTCGTGTCCTTCCTCGCCTTACGGCCGGAGCTGGAGGCGGTGGTGCTGGCGCCGGACTGCCGAGCGCGGTGTGGTTTCGCCCACTCTGAGCGATCGCCCGGGCGGAGATGTTCATCCCTCGCCAAGCCGGCCTCTTTCTCCCCGGCGACCCGAGTCTCCCGGGGTCTCTGCCCCCTCCGCGGTGGAACCTGCGGGTATTCCATGTGTGCCCGCGACTGCGGACGCCGCGTCATCTGAGACCGAATCGGAGGAAGGCGTGATTCCGCAGGACGTCCCGCCCTCTCCGCCGGGGGACCATCCGGGGGATGCCTTGCCTCTGGAGCCGCTGGCAGAGGATAACCCCCTGTACGGCACCGGCCTGGATGGTCTGCTCCGCAACGATCACTGCTGGATGGAGCACCAATTCCTGGCCTCCTACACGGACGCCACTCGTCGGACGCTACAGGCCAAGTTCGCTCGCTTACAACGATTCTGCATGGCGAATGACCTGGTCGCGCTGCCCGCCCGGCGGGCATCAATCTACCGCTACATTCGTTTTCTTCGGGAGGAGGGCAAGGTGGGCGTGCGGTCGTTGCCCCAGTACTTGGCCGCGATTTTGATGATGCACCATGTCGCGGGCCATTTGGGTTTCTCGGCCTTCGACCCGGTCACCCGCATCCTCACCCGCGCCTGGCGCCGGGCGGCCCCGAGCCCGGTGCAGCATCGCCGACCGATCCCTGTCTCGTTGCTTCTACGCATTCTGGATGTCGGCCTTACCACTGAGGACAGGCCCACCCTTCGTGCGGCGTGTGCGGCCCACCTCGACTACATTTTCTTTAACCGGGCCCAGTCGGGCCATTACATCCTGGTCGACGACGTGCGCATCGATGAAGAGGTCGTGGTCTTCCGCGAGCGCAAGACCAAGCTGCGCCCCGGGGAGGAGCCCCGGTCGCGCTATCGCTCGTGGCCTTCCCGAAGCGCTCCCGAAGTCGTCGCCCTTTTGTGCCGCTGGACTCAGTTTCGAGATCACACCTGGGCGCAAACGGACCAGCAGCCGCGCCATTTCTACCGCCTTCCCGGCGATGCCACTCCTTCGTCCAAGCTGGTGGCCTCTTGGTTTACGTCCCTGCTCGCGCACTTTCCGGACCTGGCCCACGAGCCCTTCACGTATCATGGCCTGCGCGGTGGGGGTGCGTCCAGCTGCTTCGCCTTGGAGGTCGCGGAATGGCGTATCCGGGATTGGGGTGGGTGGAAGTCAGACACGCTGTGGTCCTACATAGATATTTTCCGTTTACACACTGAGTGGGATTTTCGGCTTTTCGGTTGGATGACCATCACCGCCCGCGACCTGCATGAGTAGTTTGGGCACATCTTCTGCCCTGGAGGGGCCTCGCGTTCCCTAGAGTGACTGGGCAAGTTTGACGGACGGGAACCTCGGGAATGTGACATTGGAATGGTTGTTTGTAAGTATTGTCATGGGGTACATGACGGGGTGGGTTCAGGAGACCGGTAAGGCAGAAATGTTGTGAAGGCATTTCAAAATTTGAATTGAATTCCTGCCATACCTAGCTCCAAAGATGTATAAACCAGCCATCACACCCATTGAATGCATACGGCTTCTTTTAAGATGGCACTTTTGTTGACTAGAAACATTGAGGATCTCATTTCCATCGCTGGTAAAAGCCAAATATTCTTTTGTTTTCATAACATTTGTGCATTCGTTGTGTATATGGGCATATGTATTCTCCTTCAACAAGGGTGTATAGTTGACAATATAGTGCAATCACCCACGTTCCGACGCGACGTACCTTAGATAGCAAACCGTACAACTCCAAAACATAGCAAATATGTTTCTTACTTGTTCCTCCCGATAATACTCTCTTACCGATATCCTCCATCGGCAGCCCGAGCAGACGCTCAGTACGCTTCCATCACATGGGGCGGGCGCTACTCGTCCTACGATTCGGGCTCCTCGGACCACCGCAGCCGCCACGGCTGCAGACCCCACAAATCACCAGTTTTCGCTGCAGAGATCCAAAACGAACCGGCAAAGGCGACTGCAGCATGTCCGATAGCCCCTGTATGTAGGGACACAACATGACATGCTCTACATGGCATAGCACGACATGCTCTACGTAGAGTGCGCTGCGCTCTCGCTCAACCAACAGCGGAGGTCACGATGGCAAGGCTTGCCTTTTACGCCATAAATGCAAACGTAAACGTGCACGGGAAAACCAAGCCTGACGATGGCCATCGCTACGACGGCAATCGCGGATGCTGCAGCATCTGCGATGCCTGAAACCACTTCCATGGCAGCGACCTGCGCAGGGGTCGCAAGCAGTCACCGTCAAGGTGCTGTAGTTACAAGAAAGACAGCTTCTTGGGGCATCGTGATATGATGCGCGCGGAGGGCACACGACCGTTCAGGGGGACATGGCAGCTACGAGGGTGGAGAGTGCTGCGGGAATCACACGATTACTGTGCGCGGCATGACACCCACAGAGAACCTGACCACGATTATGGGTGCAGTGAAGCACTGCAGGCAAGGCAAGCATGGGGGTGCGACAGCCATGCTGTCGGGAAAGGCAGGGACACGACAGCTACGGCTAGTCTGACCATAGCTCGCGCTATGTCAAATACGGCAATTGTGGATCCCATCAAACATGGACCGACCTGGAGGCCATAAATCCACGGGGTGGCTCGAGACCTACAAGGAGACCGACTACAGGACAGGTAAGTAAGGCGGGGGCGGTATCCACAGCAAAGACGACACCGCGAGCAAGCCGACCACCGTTAACGGTGGCCACAACGTTGTGGCCACGGCGCATGTGATGGGCACGACATCCACTGTGGCCATGAACCCCGAAAGACATAGCGCCTACATAAAGCGCCCCTGAGGCGCAGGCCTCGGTCGACATCGGAGGGGCAGCGCCTTCGAGGAAAGCAAGAAGTGAACATACTTGAAGCGTGCAAATAACAGATCTATCCCGGTCCTGATGGTCCTAAGCAATGGCGAACAGCACCACGACACATGCCCAACGCCGCAGACAAGGCAGGTGGTGGAGATCGCGCACTTGCAAAGGGCAGCAAGATATTTGCAGGCAACTATGCTGAACGGTTAACGTGGTGGTCAAGCACACGCGTGAGGGGACAAATCTCTTGATAGGAAGAAAGCATGGGCTGCGATGTGCATATTACAGGTGGGCAGAGCGCTTTGGATGAAAATATCATCAATTCGCTGCAATGTGTTTCAACTGAATTTCGCTGAAAGGCCCAGGAATAATGCTGCAGTGTGTGCAGTGCAGGGATTTACTGTGATGCTAGCCAAGTACCTGGCAATTAAAATTGTATGTCCGTGAGCCAATCCGAGGCAGCTGTCAATTTTGCCGTTGGCTTGCAACAAGCAGCTTGCTCAGCAAAAAGCACATTGATCATGCTCAATGATTGGCTTCCCTTTCGGATATGAAGACCGGTGTTCTGAATGAGCATGTGCCTGCTGTCTGCGCAGGTCGCTTTCTGCTTTGAAGTCATCTTCGATGTGCATCCAAGAGCTCGAGACCTCCAAGTCATGACACGCAGCACGCAGGGCCCGGGCCGAGTGCCCGCCCAACTGGGGGTCCAAGGGGCACCGGGGTCTTGTTGAAAGGGGTGGCAGAGTCGGACGGGTGCGGCCACCCCGTTCGGGCACATCCTTGGCTGCCTATATGTACTTGTGAAAATTGGACCCCAGGGAAGTGGGTCGAAAACTGAGGGAAGGATAGGCAAAATAGCGAATTGGCTCCACGTGATATCCATCACTCTTGGTAAAGGATGCATGGCTATGTTCGTATCATACGCATGGTCGATGTAACTCAAGGTGCTTCACAGAGTTCCAAACGACAGCGGAGTGGTGGCGGTCATCATGGTGCGGTGCATGGTGGCCGCCATATATGGCGGGTGTGTACCCAGAGATAACGCAGCGGATACATTGTCAATCTTTGCCCGTTCCGTACCTCAGAGCGGTTGAAGAGCACGACCAGAGGAAACGAGTCAGGGACGTCTCGCCGCTTTGCATGCATATGGCCAGCGATTCAGCCAAGGAAATCCCGAGCGAAAACAATTTATGGGTTATAGGTGCATGCAAACAGACAGATATCATGTCTGTGCTTGATGCCACACACCCATGGCACTCTCACCGTTCGAGCTGCACGGGACCAAACCCCACGTCACCCCTCCCAGCCTGGCGAATGCAGCACAATTAAATCGAAGACATGCCCAATCAATAGCATTCGTTCGTGACCCGTTCACCTGGAGGCCGCCCCCAGGGTGTCCTTCCATCACCAACTAACGGCATCCCATCCCAAGCCAAGCCATCCCCGCAAGAATGAGAACATGCACAGCCAATACACCCTGGGCCCATCAACCAGCACCAAAAGTCTCGATCCTCTCCAGCCAAGCCACCTCGCAGTGTGCACATCGCTGACCGAGTTCAGGCCCGCACCATCCCACATGCGGAAGCCTCCAAAGACTGCCAGCAACCCTCACACAGCAGCGGCCCATGTCCTAACAGTGCCCCATCCAAAAAGCCAGAAAAAAAATCCTCCACTCCCCTCCGTGCCCCATTTCGCCACTTCCAGCCCAGCAGTCTGCCACACTGGTCATGGCAGCCATGGAGCAGGCTGGCCTCCACCACAAGGCTGTAAAGCTGCATCCTTTTGCCATCATGCGTATGACACTCGGATCATCTGCTGACAAGGCTGCTTCAGTTGAACATCAAGCCCTTCCACCGGCAGAACAGGATCAGGAGGGCGAAGATAACCACTGCACCCATCGAACTGATGACGCTCACCTGCAAGCACGATGAAAGGCGACAGTCAGAGATGCTGCACGATGGCAATGGACATAAAACACGCAAGCACTGATTAAGTTAAACAGTATTATCCAAAGAATACATGACACAGACAGGAACGAGATACTGAAACAATGCAGTGTGAGATTTCACATGTGGTACACCACAGTATGGGACATGCCCAGGGCTCCTTGACACTGGAGGTGCTTCAAATTGCAAGCCGTTCCTGGTCCTCTAGAAACACATTTATCCACCTCGCAGCGTCTCAAGTCCACAACGCTTTGTTTGAGAAGGGCACTCTCACAGCGTGATATGCTTGTCTGCTAGACCATCCTCACATGCTACCTTTGAAATGCACAGATCAGCCATTGGTGAAAGGGGCCAGCAAGAATCTCCAGTGCACATTATGCTGGCAGCTACCACAGTTAGGTTCAGCCAGCCAACACTGCTTTCTGCTCACAAGCTGTTGAAGGAGTCTGGCACGTATTGTGGAACAACCACACCCATTCCAATCTGGCTGTTATCACCTGCAAGGTGAAAAGCTGCCATGTAATCACAAGTGGAATATGGGGCATATCACTGGCGGCTGGCCTGAGCAGCCCCACATACCATAATGCTTACTACACTCTGAGTGTCTCCACTGATCCCGCCACTCAGTCCACAGCAAAATGATTGCTGCATAGTATAGCTGCTTTGTTGTTTGAATGGCGACTGTGCAGTGTTATCTTCACAAAACACTCCCTAACTCCTGTGGTCGTTTGAAAATGCTGCTCTTTCTAGCTCTCCACTTTCCTCAACCTTGGACAATCTGCACTTCCCGCACTGGCACCAAGAGTAAGCCTTTGTTTCTGCTTCTACCATGCACAGGCCCACCTCACGTTCATGAGGTGGCCAGCAACATGTGATGGCACAAACTAGAGAAACTCGCTGCAGGGACCATAAAGGCAGTGGAAACTATCAACAAAAGCACTCAAGCAACATCCGGAAATCCATTCTTCCCAGCCTGCAGTATGTTGTTTCTGCTATGCATGTTTCTTTTCCTTTGTGGCGCCTTGTCCAAGTCCCTGCTGGTGTCCTAAATGAAGGTTCAGGGTCTCAGACTACACATATGCAAAGAAAGGCACAGCAAATCAAAGCAGCACCGACTCTGCTGTCCAGAGTCGCTGCTGCTTGCACCTGTTGCACTAATTGCTGGGTTCTACAGCCGGCATCCGATCAGCTGTACAAGCGCTTCGCCAGATCAGCAAGCTATTCAACTGGTGCCATAGCCGTGTACCTGAAACCCAGACCACTAAACACTCTGCCTACCCACTAGCTTGCAGCATTCCACAAAGACCCTCCAGCACGAACATCAAATCATTTCAGGACTACGCTCTAGCAGCAGACGTTCCGGCTCACCAGAATAAAGGTGGTGTTGTCCCCTTCATCATCATTTTTTAGGTTCATGCCGAAAATTCCAGAAATCACTGCAACGAAGGCCAGTGCAAAAGTCCCAGCCGACATGAGTAGCTCCAGCTGTGGCACAATACAAGAAAATACACACCAGTGTCAGCTGGCATCATGTCTTGCGCACATTGGCAACAGGCTGCACCTGTTGGAGTTGCTACTTCACACACATACCCCTGCAGGAAGGAGTGCAGGTGCACTCACTGCTTTAAGGAAATATGCATGAGTGCCTTCAGCCACTGATAATTCGGTGGTGGCCGAGTCTAGGGTTCTTGGCCACTGCAGTACTACTGGCTGTCTTTGCGTGTGCCAGTGACAACTTCAGTTGCCAATGCACTCTTGTGAAGAACAACAACACACGCGCACACATCTCCCTTTCACGTTTGCATGCAGGTGCAGGATTGATATGAACAGTTTGACATATCTGCAGTTAGAGCACATGTGTAGCATGGAGACACTTTACATGTCTTGGGTACAATGCATATATCCAGTATTGCAAATCCATAAAATTTGACTGTCAACGCACACACTCTGCCTACTCTGCCTTGCCTGCAGCAGCTGGTTCCGGTGCTTGTCCTGCTCGATGTTAATGTAGTCCTCAGTGTCGTCAATGTACTCACACAACGTTTGGAGCCGATTCAGCGTGTTGTCCGTCTGCATGAAGTACGCCTCCAGAAGCATCTCCACCTCCTGCAGGTCCTCGTCCTGACTATCGGTGTCCGAGGCCATCTCCTTGAAGTCATCTGACACCCGTCGCTGGTGTGACATGCTGCTGCGGTTCTGTTTGCGTGCAGACAGGCCAGCTTGCCTGCAGGCAACCCAGGAGAAGAGGAAACAGTGAGGATCTGTGAATGAAGGATGACCAGCTGCACCAATCTCAATCCAATGTTGATGGCAGAGGCAGCACGGAACTCACGTTTGTTTTTGGAACTGATCTGGGGACGATTCTGGGGGCTGATTTTGGGTCTATGACTTGGTGCCGGTTCAGACGAACACATTACGAAACCTATTGGCTAACAACAACACACTACACACGCACTGGGACGGAGACCCAACGCTGATCTCCATGGACAATGGATATGGCTGCAGTGACAATGCTGCATATCTGTGGCCACATCTCTCTGCAACTGTTGCAGAAGTTTACAGCCCCGATGACTGTAGTCTATTGGCCCCTTCCACAACAATCTTACTATTACACTTTTTCCTCCGCATTTTCTTTTCATGCTAAGTTTATTTCTGTCAGGTTGCTCTGCCAAAATGTTTTCTCCACAGAAAAGGGCCAAGTGTTTAAGTTGCCATGCAGAAGGGTTGAATATGCTATGGTACCAGGAGGAGCGCAGTTTGATAGTGTTACAGAATTCAGACATCAGATGAGACATCAGCGGTAGATCCAAACCTACAAGACCATCTGTCAAAAGAACAAGTGTGCTTGCCCCATTGATGGCATTGGTTACCCCATCAATTGAGCAATGCCTGCCCACAAGTTTCTGTTCCCAACGATATATAAGAATGTGACGTCAGACCTGCATCAACGCTCACGAAAAGACAATGCAGCATGATTGGTTTGTGGGGAGTTCCGCAGCTTCATTGCAGCCTTGTACTGGTGCATTGACGATTCAGGGACACAACTGGGGACCAAAAACAAACAGGTTGGCATTGCAAGGTTGGATGACTATTGGTACCGGTTGTGGAAGGGATGAGCAGGGGTCCTTACTGTTTGGCTGTCAAGTTCAGTGACCGCATGTCATCATCGTCCTCCAGGAACTTCTCAAGCATCTCTCGCACCTGAAAGTCATGCACAGCAGCTTACTTAAGCCATGGGAAACCATACACATGCACATCGGGCACACACAGGAGAACTTCCTGCTTTCATTACCACAACTTGAACCATGTTGTCCTTGAGCTGCTTGCCTTCAAAAGGCACTGTGCTGTCTTCCCCTCTGGCGCAATTTCCATGGGATACCTCACCCCAACAACACAAAGTCTGCAACATTGCCTAAATAATGAATATTGGTGCTCCAAGGGGTTTGAACATATTGCACTGCAAAATTCCTCAACACCCAGCAAAATAGGCATACACCTGACCAATCTCTCCTGGTCTTTCAGGCATGTGCGATGGAACTCCAACAATCCCATTTAAAAATTTGAGCGCTAGAAATGAACAAATAAAATTTGACAGGCACAGCAGTGTTCGAAATCTGATTTTAAAAGCTTCTGGGCTGTTAATAGAGGCAGGCCCAGTAAACGCCCACATGCTCTGTGTCGATGCTACATCACGCAACAATCTCCTCAATGCACATCCACACTTGGTTCTGTTGCACATGACCACGCAGCCAAAGGGCACCATGGTGCAAGAAGCACTGGTAAGAGGACACACCGTCTCAACCCTGGTCTTGAGCCGAACCATCCTGCTCTTCAATGAACGTACTCGTTGAAGGTTGTGGGTTGTGACCTGCACAATGACATCGCCATGTGTTATCCAACAGCCCACCACCACCACCAGTGTGGATGGCGCAAACCCACTTTCGAGACCAGATTGTGGGCACCATGTACAGGATGCAGTGGGGCTGTCATTCAGTTTTGAGTCTCTGCCCCCAAATCCCAACAGCAACAACAACACCACGGCCAAAGGCACAAGCACGACAAGCATCAAGCAAGGCATGACTATCAAGGGGCAGTAAACACGCACAACATTGCTCACAAGCATGGAAGTGCAGCGTGAGTGCTCAGAAATAGGCATATACTTAAATGACAACAAGAGATGCGCCAAATCTCCTTTGAATCATGGATAGGAGGCCTGTTGAGTGAAATTTGGACCTGCCCAGGTCGTAACTGTATTCAGGCACAAGGCACTGCTGATCACAAACTATGCGGCTGCCTGCTTCTCAGCTGAATGCCTTCAACTTGGCGGGGCACGCTATCGGGGTCAGGCGAATTGAGTCAGAGAGCACACCTGAACAGTGAGAGCATCGAGGGCTGGAAAGGCAACTGCTTCCAGCTCAGTGGTCAGTTCATCCAAGGTGGAGCAAATCTGGGCACATGACAACAAAACGCATCAGCAAATCTGCACCCCACCATGGACATGCTGCAAGCCAGGCCCTCTGCAAAGACTGAAAATACCTATTTCGCCATTTGCACAGCAGGCAGGGCGGCCACCAGGATCCGGTTGCCAATGTAGCAGGTGTGCAGCAGAGATGCCTGGAAGGTAGAGAGGCAGCCTGGGGGGCAAGCCGCTGCGACCACCGAAAGTTGACTTGCAACACGCCTCGTGTCTCAATCGACAAATCCGTGACCTTCGACCCAAGCAGCATATCCAAAGGCCACGTGCACCCAAACGCAGGGCGCTCGGGGGTAACATGAAAGGCGCGTCCCGCGCGCAGGCGCCCTGGCCGCACTCACCGACTCGAGGCAGACCTCCAGCGCCTTGAGCTCGAAGGGCGTGGCGGACTTCATGGCGTACGTCACGTCGCCCTGCTGCTCCCCATCGAACCCATCAAACCCGTCGGGGCTCCTGCAGCCGTTGCCGTTGGCCCCGCCGCCCGCCGACAGGCCGCGCATCGCCACCAGGTCGCCGAGTATCGTCCCCGTCGCGGTCTTCCCGAGGCGCGCCTCCAGCTCGCGCACCAGCGGCGCGGCGCCCTCCCCGCCCGGGTTGTTCACGATCACGTAGTTCTGCGTGATGACGGCCTTGATGCTCTCCAGAGCGACCACCAGCGCCCGGTCGCGCGGCAGGATGGCCGACGGGTTGGTGCTGGACTTGGGGTCCAGCAGGCGCAGGTCGCGCATCTGCACCCCCAGCTCCTGCGTCAGCTTGTGCCGGTCCACGCTGATCAGCGAGGTGCCGCCGCCCGCGTCAATGCGCACCCACTGGCACACCACCTGCCCGCCCACGGGGTAGCGCGGTCGCGGCCGCGGCGGCTGCGGCCTCAGGGGCAGCCTGGCCGCCCCGTCCCGCCCGTTCTTGCGCCGCTCCCCGCCGGGCACCAGCGCCTCCCCGCGCTCCATCGCCCCAACGACCGGATTCCCAAATAGCTCTTCCCGCCTCCCAGAAGTTCAGCTCCCGCCCTCCGGCCCCAGGCCCGCGCCTGGCCCAAAAAATCTGCCCGGGCGAATGCTGGGCGGGAATTCAAATCCGGCGCCTCCCGGTGGTGATGCCCGGAGCTCCCCCTTGCATGCGCGCCTCCGTCGTCAGCGTGAGCGCCTCAGCCGGGGTCGATCATCGCAGGGGGCGCCGCGGCGCGCCCCAGCCCTACAGCGCCGGCCGCCCGGCCGCCCTTCCTGGGCCCTCGACGGGATCGGCGCTGAAGAAGCAGGCGGTGCCGCAGCGTGCCGACTCCCGGATCGCGTGGCCGCCGACGGGCGCGGGGGCCATCAGTCAGGGTGCCAACGCCGGGCAACTGGATGCGGCGGCCGCTCGGGCGGCCTGGGCGGCGCGCCGGCCGCCGGCCCCCTCTGCCGAGCGCGCCGGGGACTGGGGATGCCGCCAGAGGGCGCCGCCGATGCCCCGCGGCTGGATCTGCGAAGGGGGGTGCGGGGGCGCCTGGGGGATGGGGTGCGGGTGGAGGGTGAGAAGCGGCCCTTGGGGCGAGTGTTGAAGGAAGGTGTGTGTGGGGGGGCAGAGCTGGTGCGCTCCGCGCGTTTGCGTGCGGGGGCGCCGGCTGTCCCCTTCGCATGTGCCCCACATTGAGGCCGGCCGCGTGGTGCATGGTGCACGTGGGGGCGCCTCGCCCGGTAGGTGGGGGAAGCCGGGTGGGTGAGGATCCAGGGTCCAATGTACTGCGGTACTTTGGAGCGTGGGTGGTGGGTGGGTTGCCCTGTGAGTGCCGTGGGGACGACGGATGTGACGTCTTTCCGGGTGGGGTGAAGATCCAGGATCCAGAGTACTGCGGTGCAGAAGGGGTTCCTGTGTAGCGCCCCCTCTTGACATGGCCCAAAGGGGGGGGCTCTATGGAGGCCGGGGGCGCAATTGTGTTGAGAGGGGGTGCCCTGAGCAGCCGGTGTAAATGGTACGCTGGCCGCCGGTGTAGGGGTTACCATGGCCGCCTCTGTAAGGGGTCACCATGGCCGCGGGTGTAGTGGGCACCCTAGCCGCTGGTGTAGAGGGTACCCAAGCTGCCGGTATAGGGGTACACTGGCCGCCTGTGTAGGTGGCACCATGGCCCCCGGTGTGGGGGTATCCTAGCCGCCAGTGTAGGGGGTACCCCACACCCGTCCTCTCCGCGCTACCAGGCTCATACTGGCTTTTGGGACCAGCGACTTGGTCGCAGCGCCGAAGTCGCGGGCGCTGAGACCTGTCGCAGTGAAACAAAGTACAACGGGGACGGTGACAAGCCGTTAGGGGTTCGCTAAACTTAGAGAGTTCGCTAAACAGGGTTCGCTACCCCTCCCCCCCTAATAGTTTGAGGTCCCAAGTACTACAGAAATGGTGACACGCCACAAAAGGGGGCGCTATTGGGGGCCGGGGCCGCTACTGGGGGGCGCTAGAGGGACCCTTACAGTACTTTGGAAGTGGGGGTGGGTGGGTGTGTTGCGCTGATAGTGCCGTGGGCACAACGGATGCGACGTCTTTGCGGGCACTTTGGTTATGCGATGATGCGGTGATGGGCGATGCCGCCCTGGCACGCTCGATGTGTGCCTGGATGCTGTGCAATGGAGTCGGATTCCTGTGGGAAATGAGAGCGTGGCGGTGGCATATGGTGCCAGCCGGGGGGTTTGTTGAGGCAGGCGTCTCTGGATGCAGCTGCTCCTTGGGCTGATCTTTTCGTGCCTAGGCCATCGATGTTGCAGCCCGGCAGTCGAATGTTGTGTGGATCTGACAGGCACAACGCATCATGGAAGGGCGTCATGTGTGGGTGATGGGCGTATGCTGTTGAAGGGGCTGCAGTGATTTTACGGCAACAGGATTAGGGATAAGCAAGCGGATGACCACGGGTGGAAGGGGTGTGCCCGGATCAAAACGGAAAGCCATGGTGATGTGGTGCTTGGCGTTGTGTGGAACGTTCTTTGTGGGCAGGTGCTGCCTTTCTATAAAATTGTCTTCGACAAGACAAGCAGTACCTTAGTATATTCAACCCTTCCGCATGGTAACTTTGGCAGTTATGCTTTTTGCTCCGCATTTTTCTTTTCGGAGCATTTTCATCTTTCTATATTGCTCCGCAACACATTTAGTGGATTTTCTTCGCAAAAATAGGCCAAGCGCTACGTTACTACGCAGAAGTGTCGAATACTTCACGGTACTTCTTTGTGGGCAGGGGCGTTGGACAGGGGTATTGATGCATTGTTCGGGACAGTGCATGAAGGCAACCACTGTCCATAAAGTTTCAGACATTCAAGTTGATGTGGAAGGCGATGATTTGTGTTTCTTCCATTCCAAAAGACACATGAGTTCGCACTTCTACCAACAGGTCGCTGTCATGCAGGATAGCTCGACAATTCTGCCTTTGGATCTGTGTACTTTGTGTGCTCTCCTAACTGTGAGTTGGGGTGTCCTTTTGCAAAGCATTGTGATGTTCTTCTGTACCACTCGAAAGCTGTTGCTGTTGATGATATCAAAATTCACAATCCATGGCCAGTATGTCATTTTGTATATTGCTGCTGGTGATTCACTCATCCAGATCCAAAATGCCTTAAGCGGGGATTGCGCACACCACCCAGACCCAGACCCCCCCCATACCTTGCACTGGACAATCAATGGCACAACACCAAGGCTGGCAGACAACAAAGCACACAAAAGTGCAAACAAATACCAGCACATTGCACCTTTTGCTGAGTCCTGCCTCATATGCTAAAGATAACAAATGGCATATGTGGCTGCAATTGTTGTTTTCAAGATATGCCAACACAGTCGTACAGATCAGGACGTGTGATGGATCCCACAAGCTCAGCCTCAGGAATATCAAGATTCACATGGACATGAACTCGTGGACTCATCTGTAGCTTCCAATCTGTACTCGTCATTGCTCTGACTTTCCCCAGTCTCCTGTGGCATACACAGCCCTACATAGCACCCCAGCACCGTTGTGGCTCACTAACACCTGTCCTGCCCATTGACCACAAACTGTGAGCTCTACCCACAATCCTCACTGCCCAGTGCCAACCCAAGGCTCCCTATAACCCCTTGGGGTCGAAGCTGGGATCACATCAATGCACTATGGGAACATGTTTGCCTGAGTTTCACAAGTTGCAAGCCCAGCTAGATCACTATGACTAAACAGAAATATCAGTTGCCCAAATCTTAGGCCAACACCAACCTTTCTACAGCACTAGAGGGATGTTACATTACTTTGATTCCAGGTGTCAGTTTGACAATGTCCTGCCCTTGTGCCTCTATTGATTGGCAGGCGTCCAGGGTGTTTTGCAATGTGGTCACAGCATGGCTCGAAACTCCCAGTGTCCCCAGGTAGTGCAGTACACAACTACCTCACCCCTTGCATGCAACCTGTTCCTGACGCCACGGTGGTTTTCACCTTCTTCCCAGCAGTGCAACGAACAGATAAACTCCAGCCAGTTGCCTGCAGAAGGTACCATTGACTGGTTGGCATCGGCTCAATTGGAAAAATAACTGCTCCAATCAAACGACAGCGCCCTGATGGGGTGTACATTGCCCCACAGTATACGGGACGCTCACATCCCAGGTTCCAGCTGGGAGTTCCGAGCACCCTGCAGGCACATCCCGACCTCCCTGGCACTGCTGAACTCCCACAATATCGCCACAACCGTTCCCCTCGTCATTTGTCGAGGCTAACTTCACAAAACAGGCCAAAAGTATGGTCATCCGCCTCTTACCCTGCCAATTTCTGTTGAACACAGATGCCAATGTCCCAATCCTCCACGCCTGCGCGGATAATGCCCATTGTCCCAATCCTCCACGCCCTGCGTCCCCATTTCGCGGCAAGGGCGACCGCCAGGTCATAGGGCCGAGCATTGCCGGTGCGTATCCACAATTGATCCGCGCTTGGCGCAAATCAGGTGCCTGCCTTTGGGGCGCCCGCCTGTGACTGCTGCGCCTTGGCCTCTTTCGCCACCTGGGAGCCTACGACGAATCCGTTAGCCATCGTCGCGCAAACTCCAAAGCCCACCGCGAGAGTTGTCAGCCCCAGCATGCTGACGGTTGCCTTGAAGGCGACGTCTGCGAGCGCCATGGCGTCCGAGTTGCTGGCAACGGTGCGGCTCGGGACTCCCGCTCAGATGCTCTGCAACAACACACCGCAGCGGGCCTGGATGCGAATTTATGGGGAAAGAGACACGACTTTTGGCGGTGACAGTGCTGTTTTTCTGCCGGGTTCCTGTTCAACCTTCGGTGTGGAGCCTGGTACTGCTGATGCATTGTCAGCATACCAAGATGCCGGTTCAGTAGCACACAGTTGTGATGCATTGTATTGTTGCACTCCTGCGCGGCATTCTGCACAGTGCCCGGCATTTGGGGCCCACAGGATTTGGATGCCGTTCAGTGCGCGTAGGATAAGAAGCAGAACCGAAAGCGACTCCTACAGGACGACCCCTCTTAGTACTGCTCGGGGCGAGCAGGGTGGTGTGGTTGGGAGTTGCTGGACGTCCCAACCACAATGAGCAGATCCTGGCCCTGGACGGCACGTTCCTGGCTTGAGTTGCTCACCGAATTGGCCTGCAAGTTTGCCAGCGCGCCGCGGCACAGATCGGAGGTGAAGCACACAGAAGATGTTCACAAGGCACTGACGAGAATCTCAGCGTTGGGCTGATGAAACAGATATGGGCGCCAAAGTCTGGGGGCAGGGAATTTAATGGTGGTGGGCGCTGCTGGAAGACTCGAGAAGGAGGTGGCTTTGATCAGCTTTGATTGTGCTCGCTGGTGGCCTCACAAACAACGTCCTGACATTCTCAAGGCCACAATGGGTTTGCATGAGCCAGAGCATTTTGCTGTTGCACTTGAAGTGACAGGGCTGCAGGGTAAGGCCGATCACCTGCAGTCTTGGCGTTTGAAGAAATGTCCAAATGCAAGTGATAGAGTCCCACTGAGCGGGGGCAGTTCTCCCTGTTCGTTGAAGGTGCATCCACAGTTGAAATTGTCATACCACAGGCCTTCACAAGTGTCCATGCCCACCATGTGGCACTGTACAGGGCAGTGCCTACTACGAATGGCAACTGCCTGTTTACAATCCCTGTCAAGATTGGTGCGGGACACAAGTCTGCTTAATGGCATCTGTGCGGTTCTTAGTGGAAGACTGTGCCTGGGAGCTCAAGATATTGAGACAGAACTGACGATGGATCGAACACGCCACGGTGGGAACTTGCGCACTTCATCGACTGGGGGCACTTGCATGTGCTTATTGCTGAGTGACAGACCCGGCCTAATGAATATCGTGCTGTTGTCTTTGGCTCTATGGTCTTCAAGCAGCCCCCAGTTGCCATGGTGAACGCAACGATGCTGAATCTCAATACCTTGCGTGTTAGGCTCCTGCACCTGGCGTTCCTTGCATGCCAGAACCCTTAAAAATATCAAGAGAAAAGAGGGAGAATTGTCAAAATCTTTCAACAGCTGCAGGCTGTAGGCCAACTAATGCCAGCTTTGTGTGTTTCGCTTGCTTAGAATCCATGCTGATCCCTTTTGGCAAAGCTTTTACAAAGTACTGCTATTGCAACCAATGGACTCTGTTGGACAGAGGCTTGTCCAAATGCGTTTTGGTTGCCTGTTAATCATTACCTAGCCCTCAATGATAATGCCATCGGCGTTGCACAGGTTTGCTGCAGGTGTGTTGGTGTCATCTTTTTGTGCGTCTTACCGATTTCATGGGAAATGAAAGCATGTGATGATGCTACTGTGCATTTCTTTTGATTGCAGATGAGAAGACGTCAGCAAGTTCAAGAAAGTGACATATAGCACTACTATTCCACCATGTTGTCTGGTGAGAATGTGGGCCCTCCTTCAGCAAATTGTTGTTTAACTCGCATGAAGGCAAGCAGCCATATGAACTAAGCGAGAGGGCTGGCTTCGCAAGTTAATCATGCTCCATCGTTCCCTGGGATAGCAGGAAAACCGCCCCCATTAATCAGGTAGCTACTGTCATGGAGAAATCCTCTGTTGGCTTCCATGCTTGCCTGCGCTGGATCTTCTAATGTGCTCACACAGCCACAGAGCTAATTGTCACTGCCACACAAGCATGAATAGAGCACTGACGATTGTCAGAATATAAGTTTGTGCATGCAGGCGGTCTTTCTGATCCCTGATTGTGGCAGTGCTAATTCTCTACATCACCATGGATGCCATGTCCCAGACCCAGCAGCACAAAGCAATACTGGGCAGCATGATGAACAAGGAACCTGATGGAGCCAGGTCAAGAAATACAACAAGTTGGCTGTTCGGTGGTGAATGAGAGAAAAGTTGCATTTTAACAAAGAAACACTTGTGGATATAAACAGCACACAGTATGCCACTGCATTGCCGTATGCACTTCAAAAGTGGCAACTGCACATTCCACCTTCAATTCTTCACTAGGTGGCGGTTCTGTATGTCATGGGCACCTTGTACCCATGCAGCTGTTGTACATGAGATGCCTTGCTGGGCAAATTGGGCCTGCACTGCTGATGCATTTGTCAGGTTGCATCAAACCATTGCTTTGCTATCAAGGGTTCAGGGGAACAATGCAGTTTTGGGCACCCTTTGCATTGCTGTGCCAAGATGTTTTTGCATTTGTAACCAAGGTTGCCACTTGTTGCATTCTGCAGTGCTGTAGTTATTGGAGCCTTTGCCAGAGGGCAACTGAGTGGCAAGACTAACAACGATCTGAATTGCGTGGATTTGCAAGCTGCAAGCATGGCATTACAAATCCATGAGCTTGCACCCAGCAGGTGATGATGGGTGCTATAGTGTCCACATGATTTTGGTTGCTCATATTACCCCTATAACACATATGTGGCAAGGGCAGGAGCGATCTGTGTGTTGTGCCGAGTTGTTGTGCCAAGGCGTTGGTGGAGGGGCAAGTGCTGCGATTGGGATCGAAATTGGGTCTGGCAACTGGGGCACTGAATGACCTTACAACTGCATCAAGAATGCGTGAACGAGGGCACAGATCGTTTGGTGCAAGCAAAAGTGTGGCATGCACATGTGGCCACAAGCAGATTTCTGATTCCGCCACTGAAATTCTTTCACTGCAGTTGTGAACACTGGAGGGCTGTGCCCAAAGGCGCGAAAGATGGCCGACATTGGCTGCACACTTGCTGCAGTTTCAGCCGGGCGAGAGAGCACAAGCCCAACCTCAAATTAGCGGGATGCATTACACAAATGTTGTCACAGCTCAACGTCCATTATTGTTGCAATGATAGTGCCCCATTTTAAGGCAGTTCTCACAGTGGTTTGCCCCAAGGTGGCTATTTGTGCCCTGGCCTTGACAATATCAGGTCACCCTGCACCAGTTCACTTGGCTATCCTGACCCTTTTGGCAGAAATTTGTTTCCCATTTCCAGGATAATTCAAACAGCGTAAGACTATGTTCACTGCAGTCCGGTTTCTCTGTGTGTACCAGGCGATTTGTTCACTTTACAATACCCAGTTTGAGGCACTTGCAGAGTTGCAGAGCTTAAATTCACCTGAATGCTGGCATCGAGGAGTGTCAAATTTCCCACAGAAATTCCTGCTGGTACAACACTGCCGAGCCCTCTGAGATGCCCTCCACGGAAATGCTATTGGGAGGACTCCATTGAAGAGCATTTTACCACACCTCCCAACAACTCCTAAACAATTACCTGCCTGAACCATCTGCAGTTTCAAATCAATTTCTTCCATTGAATCGCTGCAACAGTCTTCCGCTGTTAAGGGATTCTTTTGACAACAACAGGAAAAGCATCCCTTGGCCATATTAAAAGCTGTGCATCTGAAACCCCGTGTTAGTGTTTGCCGTCACGGCTGCTTCCCGCCGGGTCAGCACACCTCCCAAACCGACTGACCCCCTCCCCCTTCTCCGGATGCCACGAGGTACCCCTGGCAGGTGCTGGGGGCGGAAACCGCGATCATGTCGGCGTCCGCGCCCTCCTGAGTAATGCCCCTCCCCCGCCGCAGATGAAGCTTGGTCGACTGGCGCGCCGGATGCCCCGGGTGGGCAAATTCGCCCAGCTCCCGGCCGCGAGCCGACTTGCAGTTCAGACGGCCATCCCGCGCGCCGCGACCAGGGCGGCTGCCTGCGCCCTCCGCGCCAGATACGCGGCACGGCCCCCGCCGGCCGGAGGGGGAACGCTCCAGCGCCGCAGGGTACGACCGCGCCGCGAATCTCGCGCGCTCATTGACCGCGCGATGCGACCTCCCGGGCCGTGCGCCCCCCTCCCTCTCCGGCGCTCTGTATCCGGCAGTCCGGCTGGGAGAGGCGCGCCGCGGTTCTTGCGTAATGCGCGTGCGGTCTGGAAACCTGGGACGGGGCGCGTTGCTGAAGTGGGCGGGGTCCAGGGCGGGTTGGGCAGTCCGCTTGCCGGGGTCCGGCCGCTTTTGCAGCTTCGAGGTTGGCCAAGCACGTCGCCCGGGCTCGGGCGGGGATGCCGCCTGGCGGGGCCCCCCTCGAGCGGCCGGGATCGTGCCGCGAGCGCGCGGGCCGCACCGCCCGGGCGTCCCGCCGGGCTTGCCTGGAATCCGGGCCCCGTTGGCGCGGTTTCCCGCCCTTGTCGGCCGGCGACCTTGGCACTGCGGCGGGATGCGCCCGCCTGCAGCTGCCCCCGGCGGCCCCGCGTAGGCTCGGGGCGCCTCGGGGGCGATTTTGTGGCCAGGGGAGCGCCCGGAGGCGGGCGAGAGGCGGAGTGGAGGGGCGAGATCGTCGCCTGTGGCCGCGACGGCCGACAGCCCGCCAGGGCGGGGGAGGAGGCGCTCCGGCGCCCTGGCCTGGCGCGCCTTCGCGCCGGCGCCCTGCCTGCCGCACACACACGCCCTCCCCCTCAGTCAGTTTCTGGCGCGGCCAAAATTGTCGCGCGGCCGGATTGACGCAGGAATGGCCCGGCCTTGGATGCTTAAGGGGGGTGAGCCCTGCCCCTGGGCTGCCCCGGCCGCGCGGGGCCCCCTCTCAAGCAGCGAAGCCGGCTGCGCCGGCCGGGCCTCCGTCCCTTTTGGCGGCGCCGGACGATAGATGGCGAGGATCTCCTCCGTGACGGGCGCCGATCGCGCTGCGTTTGGTATTGCCGTGCGAATTGTTCAACCAGCCTCCAGGCCGACTGAAGGGCGGCATTGGGCTGCCGCCACCGCGGATCCCGCGCCATCCAGCCTCGCACCATTGGCACCTCCCCCTCTGGCCACCCTGAACCCGATCTAGCCCGCCGGGATCGCGCCCATGGTTCGCGACCGCCCCTCTCCACCCCTTGAGAGACCTGCGACGTCCCCCTGGCCGCACACAGGCGGGCGGCCGCCATGCCGCGCAGCCGTGAGCTTTGCCGCGCGCCGGCGTCTGCCGATCGGCCGTCGCTCCTGGCGCGCCTGCGGGCATGCCTCCTGCACTTGGTCCCCCGGTCTCACTGGGCCCCAACCGCGGTTGCAAAGCGAGGACCCTCGGCATTGAACTCCGGCTTCGGGTCGCCGAGCGGGTTTGGAGAATTAAGTGATTGGTTTCCAGCGCCTGACGCGATGTGCTGTGCGGTCGCAGCGCTGGGCAGGTTGATGAGCGGCGGGGGGAATGGGCCCCCCGCCGGGCCGTCGGCCGTGGGCGCTCTGCGCCTCTCAGAGGAGGAGATCCTGCGAAGGGCGGTGGCGCTGCGGCGGGACAGGGAACTCGTACGGGGGGGGCCGCCCAAGGAGCCCGACCGCAATTTCACGCACTGGGACCAGCTGCTGCAGGAGATGCGGTGGATGGCGGACGACTTCTCAAGGTGAGGTGTTGAGGTGGGTAAGATTCTTTGCGCTGCAAAGGAAGAACAGGTTGTACAAAGGCAACCCCCCCTTTAGCAATCGCATGCGAGACTCCTTTCCATGCTGTGAGAAGATGAGGTAGAGTGGCAGGTGCGAAACGGAGCAACGGAGACAAAGAAAGCAAAGGGAGACTCTAAATCATCTTGTCACACCATAGTGGGAGTTGGGGAAGGTTTGGTCTTGTTGTGCTGTGAGACAGGAGGCTTGTGGGGCCTGGCTGCCGCTGCATGGGTTCGGGTGATTCGTTCGTTGGGTTGGTGGCACGTTTGCAGTGCAACTGCCTGGGGATTGCTGGAGGTGAAACTGGGAGCTGGGATGCAGGGAGAGGAAGTGGAAGGTCAGCCAGGGCAAGTTGTTCGCCCGGCGTTGCTCGCGAGCAAAGCTCGATGCCGCAGCCAAGCAGCAGCAGCGAGAGAGGGAGGAAGAGCAGCGGAAGCGGAGGAAATGTGCTTGGGTGGCCAAGGAGGTGAATGGGCAACCCATCGCGTGCATTCGCCTGAGCCTCTGTTTGCTGCTGCTCTGTTCTTTGGTTTTTGTACCTCTGCAAGGGCGGATCATGGAGAAAGCAAAGCAGGCATTGTTTTCCTGTTGCCTTCGTTCACAAATGTCAAGTTGATGCCCATCCACTATGGCATGCAGGTCATGCGCTTCTGGCGCAAGGCTGAGAGGGTCGTGGCTTTCAAGACCCACTTGGCTGTTGAGAAACGCCGAAAGGAGCTCATGGACAAGCACCTCGACTTCTTTCTTGGTCAGACTGAGCGTTATACATCGATGGTCGCACAGAACCTGACTGGGGCTTCCGAAGGCCATTCACAAGGCGAACCGTCCACCTCACAGCCAAGCCAAACCAACCAAACGGCAACTAAACCTGGAGTTGACAATCCCCTGCTTGGTGCTGCCAAATTTGGAGCTCAAAAAAGATGCCCCAATGGTGTACTAAAGCGGGTTGCGTTTGCCGATGAGAACCAGGAGGAACTCAGGTTTGTGGGACAGGGACCTGCTATGTTGCGAACTCACACTGCCAGCAGCATTCCTTGCCTATTGTCTTGCTGCAGACATGGGCACTATTTGACTATTTGCAGAACTGCTGGGTGCAGTTTTTCCCTGAGTGCGGAAGACTTCTGAACTGGAGCATTTGCGATTGTTCCATGCTGGTTTTGAATAAGAAATGAGTGTCGCTGTGATTGGGGAGAGACATTTGGGCTCTGTTGGCACACATTTCAGGAACCAAACAGCAACATCAACAGTGGTGGCATACGTATGGGCAGTGCTGTGACAGTCCACATGTGTTGAAACACGATGGTAACGAGTGCAGTGCCTGTGGCTATGCATCGTAGCAGGTATCATTCTTTCTGGTTCCTGAGTTTGACCTGGCCCTGATGGACAAACCACTGTTCAACAGGGCTAACAAGAAAGCTCGCACTGGTGACCCAGCTGATGGCGATCCTGCCCAACAATTTGAGTGCAGCCCTGCAGTGAAGTTGCCGCCTGAAATAGATGCAAGTACTGCTGGGGGCATGCTGCCTTCAAGAGAATCGAGTCCTGTAAGCAGGTCGCCTGTTGGTGATGGCACCCCAGGCAAGCCACTAGACCGAGGTGCCCAATCTGTACACTTGACTGAGCTGGATCAGCAGATCCAGACAGCTGATTCGAGTGATGACCATGATGATGATTATGACGCTTCGAATGTGCATGAGGTGAGCAGATGTGGTGCTCTTGAAATATGGGTCAATGTGTGGAGTGCATCTGGCATTGCAATGGGCAGTGCTTTGCACATTCAATGGGATGGACAGGACATGTCCATATCTGTTGCAAGTACCAGGAAAAGAACAACAGTTTGGAATGACAGTTCTGCCTGGGTGGCCAACGGGCTCAGTGGCACAGCCACCAGCAGCCTGGGTCAATATTCTGCAACAGTTTGATAGGCAGCAATTTCGTTGGCACAACATTGTGGTGTTCAGGGTGCCTCACTGCCTGTTTCAGCAAACAGCTCTCAGCTTTCAAAGGATGCCATCTGGTGGCACTGTTGGCAAGCAACCTGCTGGAACAAGAGTATGTTGGGAGTGGCACGACTGAGGATGCAGTAGCCAACAGTGCTATTCAGTAACAACTGTGGACAACGGAAGCAGCAACACTGCTGTGCTTGCACTGTAGGTTCGCCACCATCCCTCTCACAATGCAATAAAGCACTCATTGCTTTTGTCCATTGTTGAAAGCAGTTGTGTTTGCTGTCGACAGGATCTGGACGAAGCCACTCTTCAAGAAGAGGAGCGCAGGGCTGCAGCTGAAGGAGGCGTGTCTCAGCAACAGGAACTAGACACTTTGAAAGAAGAAGCAGACCTGCCATTGGAGGCATTGCTCCAAAAGTACAAACTGTCAGTGACAGGTGATTGCCGCCTGGAAAACGTCAGATCATCCTCACAGCTGGCAGATGGGGGTGACGAAAGTGATGAGGATGTTGCAAGCGACACTAGGGAGGTTGGGGACGCAGGTCGGAAAGAGGTGACAGAACCTGTGAAGAACCAACTGGGTGAAAAGGGCAGGGCATTGCATCGGCAGGGTTTGCGGCCCTCAAAGAATGGCAAGAAAGCCACTGTGGGTAGCCACATGGTGCATGCACTTCCAGGCCTCCTGTCTCTTCAAGACAGCTATGGCGAGCAGCGTTCGAAGGATGCAAGGCCCGAGCAGGAAAAGGGACTGGTGCAAACTTTGCTATCTGGGGAGACAAAAGATGAGGAAGGTGGCCATTCTCCCAGTGGCGAATTGGCAACAGATTTGGCAGTGTCCATTTCAAGAGTGGGGCCAACTGAGGCAGATGATGCTGACGACTATGCAACAAGCAATGATGGGGAGGTGAGCCCCAGTTTCTGTCCTTTTGTCATTGCTGTTTTGTGCTGTTTTGTGCACGTTACAAATTCCTCTTTTGGCAAAGTCAGTGAACCTTTGCTTTATCCCCAGCTTGCCTCCCGTTCTGGCTCTTTTATGGATCACATTCAAAGAGATGCACTGAGTTGCAGTACACAGGGTGATGAAATTCTGTGCAGTACACAGTTTGTACAAAGTGCTGAACATATGCATTATGTTTTCCTGGAGCACATCGTGCTCAGAATTTGGCGTCATCATGATAAGCAGGAGCAGCAAAGTGGCACGTGCTATGAACGCCCTTGCTCAGCACTGACGTTTTGGAATAGATATTTGACTAACTGCGTTGATCTACCTTTGCCATTGACATCATTGTTATCACAGGATGATGAGGCCACCCTTGAGGAGCAGGAGCAGTTTGAGGGCGTGGCAAGCGGCCACCATAAGCAGGAGTTAACTGAGCTCAACAAGGAAGCTGAAATCCCTCTGGATGAATTGCTAAAAAGATACGGTGTGGGCGTGTCAAATGATTGCACCATCGAGCCTATTAGGGGCTCCCCAGGGGAGCCCCAGGAGCAGGAGGATGCCTCGGCTGTGGGAAATGCACTGCCAGTGTCAGTGACAGTGACAGTACCAGTACCAGTGACAGTTGAGGTTAGTAGTTGCCAAAATGGTGTCTGTAGTATGCACTGGCCCAAGTGTGGTGTGCTGTTTGCAATGTGAAGAATGTCATAGGTGGATACATTCCAAGGTATTGTTGTCTACCTGTCCTGCAGGTTCGTTGTGTGTGGCCTATTGATTGCAGGACGTTTATTCCATTGATGTCAGAATCGAATTCTGAGGGGTTTTCAGAATGAATCGCTGTGTGCGAACCACATTTGATATTTGTGGGAATTGGCCGCTGCCCTGTGTTGACGCTTGGCGCTGCGTAGGAAGACAACAAACCGTCCGCTCGTGGTCCAGACACTTTTTCTGAAGCTGCAGGGGCTCGAGATGGGGGCCCAAATGAGCGTGACGATTTGGATGGAGTTGCCTCCAAAGAAGCTGCTGAATCCCACAACAGGAACAGCTCTTCCCAGTGTGACATTGAGGCAGGCAAACATGGCAAGGGGTTGGTCATGACTGAGCACAGTGCAGCTGCTGAAACAACTGCCAGAGGGGGCGATGCCAGTCCACAGAACAGGCACGGCTCTCCAAGTGCAGAAGTGCTGGCAGACGCTTCAGCAGCAGCGACCGCAGCCCAGCCCAGTGGCCACACACTCTCAACCAGCCAAGTGCGCACACAGGTGAGTTGGCAAGTGAAACAGGGCTGGCTGGTTTGTCATTTGAGTAAAGATTGGGAGGCAGGGAGATATGGCTGGTCAGGCAGGGCGTGGACATTGTTCATTAGTTGCAGCGCATTTTGCAGCAATCTTGGGAGGAATTTAGCTCATCATCATCTCTGCCACTCCACAAGTTCCAAGCCATTTCACAATATCTACAGCACTTCCCCCACCCCCTGCTGATGGATCTGCTGCTGGTCATTCACGTTGTAAGTCGTCCATTTCGCAAGTCAGTCGCCTGTATTGTGGTTTGATTTGCCTAGATCATATGGATTTTCGGTGTTTGCAGGTTCCCTTCCTGTTGAAGCATGCTCTGCGTGAGTATCAGCACATTGGCCTGGACTGGCTGGTGACGATCTACAGGAAGCGCATAAATGGCATCCTGGCTGATGAGATGGGCTTGGGAAAAACAATCCAGACGATCGCACTGTTGGCCTGGCTGGTGGCCGAGGAAGGTGTATGGGGTCCGCACCTTATAGTCGTGCCCACATCAGTGATGCTCAACTGGGAGATGGAGTTCAAGAAATGGTGTCCAGCCTTCAAGCTGCTCACGTACTATGGGTCAGCCAAGGAGCGCAAGGCCAAGCGCCAGGGGTGGTCAAAGCCCAATGCGTTCCATGTCTGCATCACCAGCTACACGCTGATATTGCAGGTAAGGGTCTGGCGAAAGGACACTGAGCGAGGAGCACTAGTACATGGTGTTGAATTGTGAGGCCATGCCAGGAATCCAGATCGGTTGTGGGGTCTGTTGTTGTTTGTTGGAAGCACAGAAACCTTAACAATATGGTGTATTTTGTCTCTCTCCTGTGCTGGTTGATCTCCTATTGTCCACAATTGGCACACTCATCCCCAACTTGGGGCTAGGATTGTCCACCAAGTGAGTGCCTTCCTCTTGGAATCAGGGTTCATTCATTGCTTGGTATTGGTCCTTCTTGGGGCCTTGCATCGCTTCACACAGTCCTATGAGGTCCCCAGAATGCTGGTTGAAACAGTGCAGTGTTGCTCTTAGCAACAAGCACTTGTGGGTGATTCTGTGCGGGGCTGTCCCCTTTGGGGCTGTTAAACTGTCTTTCTGCAGGGTGTGTGCTGTGCTTCGATCCCATTTATCAGAATCTGCAGCCTACGCACTTCATCTCGATGCAGACAATTGGAACCAATGAACCATTGCAGTTGGCTGTCATTCCCATCTGCCTAACCCAATCCCACCAGCCCACTGTAGAATGTGGACATTCTCTTCTTGAAGGTTGTGCTTCCATTCAATCATACGGTCAATCTGCTGGGCTCTGCCTTGCAGTTTTTGTGAGGTTGCGTAAGTCCCACTTCCGTTTTGTTGGGAAGGCACAGGAGTGGCCCTGGTCTCTCACATATGACTTGTTCAGATAAAACCCCACCCCACCCCATCCCCGCAGCACTCTGTACACATGGGTGGAAGGAGCAACAAGTCGTCTGGGTGCAGATAAACATTGTGGATGGGGATGTGCCCAAGCTCGTGCAGGTTGACAAGGGCATCAGGCTTTCACACTACCTTTCTATGCGATCACAAGTGCACCATTGCCAAACACAGATTGTTGCCTCGAAGGCGTGCGTCTTATAGTCAGCTGGCAATGTGCATCCCAAGTGCTGCACTTGCAAACACAGAAAAATCGGGTGTTTCACAGCTTCAGCCTGCTTGTGCGCAGGATGCCAAGATGTTTCGTCGGAAGAAATGGAAGTACCTTATTTTGGATGAGGCCCACATGATCAAGAACTGGAAGTCTCTGAGGTGGCAGACGCTTTTGAACTTCAACTCCAAGCGCCGCCTTCTGCTCACGGGCACCCCCCTGCAGAACGATCTCATGGAGCTGTGGAGCCTGATGCACTTCCTCATGCCTCATGTGTTTGCGTCACATGCCCAGTTCAAGGACTGGTTCTCCAGCCCTCTGACAGGCATGGTCCAGGGGCAGGAGGAAGTCAACAAGGTGGGCGCAGCAGGCAGCCAGCTTTATATTGGCTTCAGCATGGTAGATTGTGTCTTATGTCTGTCGCTTGAGATCTGATGCCTTGTTAACCTTGATACCTTCTGAAACGATGTTGGTATTGATGTTGAGGCAGGTTTGCTGGACAGCATTCAGACAGAAATATGTAGAACTCTTTTCATTGTTTGTCGTCTGCTAGCTGTGTAGCACTGATGGATTCGTTTTGAGATCAGGTGGAAATGAACAGTGTGGCTGCATTGTTGCAGCTGCTCATCAGGTTACTTGGTTGTTCAGCATCAGTTGCAACTGTGTCTCTGTCCTTCCTGCATCAGAACATGCCTTCCAGCATTGATAGACAGCGCAGCATGGTTCTCAAACCAGGTGGTTGCAATCAAGCAAACAAGACTCAAGTCTGCGGTGCATGGACATTAGGTCACGTCACCTGCTGTTCTACAGAATGCAAGAACCCACACATCCTAAAGAAACCTGCACTAGCTGGACTGTTGCTCATCGGAAAGCACTGGACAAGATTGTCCAGTTGTCATTTGAAGTGTGAAATGCGATTGAAGATATGGAGTGAAAAGACGCACTGCAGTGGGGCTACTTAGGGCATCGTACACGATTTGTGGAAGCAGCACAAGGTCACATTTGTTTGAAGCTTCAGAATAGAATAAAGCTGTGGTGGGCTTGATTTCTGCAAGTGTGTAAAGGACGCTTTGAATTCAGCTCTGAATGCACTTGTACATGAGCCTTTTGAAGCACTCCCTTCACATCCATTGGGCCCTGTCAAGCTTTGTTCTGAACCATGGGAGGAAACATTGCATGGAAATCTGCATGAACTGCATCTGTAGTCAAGTGTCAAAGCACTTGACCTGACGTTGAATTTGAAATTCGATGACTTAAGCTGTACCCCTCTGCAACTGTTTCTCTGACAGTGTGGGGACTCC